TAAATAACCCAAATACACTGGACTGTAAATAAAAAAAAAATCTTCTTAAAGTCTTGTTTTATTCCAGAGATGTCGCTTGTTTGTCTGAGTTTTAAACCTACCAACAAAACAGTGGAATATGCGACACCATACAAAACACAAGACAAGATTAAAGGGTCAGCTCACCAAAGACAAAGCAACACATTTTGACACTTACCCTCCGGTGTTTTGGTCTTTTTCCCTGCGAGACTTCCTTCTGTCGTGCCAATACAAGTAAAGTTGTGGTGTTCAAGGCACTGAAAACTTATTTCTTTTGACTGAAAAAAACCTTTCTGTAAACTGACCCCGTCTGGATGATCCACATTTGTGACTGAAGGGCGTGAGTGAAATATTTTGTAAGACTGAGATATGATCATTGGTGGGATATTACAATGCAATGTTCAGTGTTTTAATAACCCCCTCCTTCCTCTGTGCAAAAGGCTCTCACTGTTTCCTGCTTTGCTGCTGACCGTCATAATTACTACATCCTGTTATTTGAACAGCAAGCAAATGTCTTTATTGACTGTGGTGCAAGAAATATTCAGATCCTTAACTTAAAGTCCCCATGACAACCAAATTGAGTGTTTTTCTATTTCTTCATATGACCTACACGTATTTTGAAGGTATTCTGGGGGCCTTACTGATAACTGTTCAAAAACAATTTTATAACTTGCACAAAAAGACAACTTGAAGAAAATCTTTTCTGGTTTTCTCTCTGATGACCTCAGCGACGCCCTGTGATTTAGAGTTTCCTGACTGACTTGTTGCTTATCAGGTAATAGCTTACTGCTGCTAAGGGTGCCAATTAAAAAGACAATTGGATGGGTCAACTATTTTTCCTGGTCATAAAGGAAACCCAGAACAGTGCAGGTGCGTGCATCAGTTTATAAAAGTCTTACAATGCTTACAATATCCTTGCTAGTTTAACTAATGTGTGTATGCAGTCTGTAGATGATTTACTCTTTCAGCATATATCTCCTTTACTCTTGCTCATGTTGACGGTGAATGAAATGTAACCTGCATTCACTAAAGCAGTGAAATAACACACCTGAACATTTTTCAATTACCCAGCAAAGTAAAACTCCTGAATTCCAGAGTGAAAACAAATGACTGCTTATTGTAAGCTCACAAAATTCTTAAAATGAAATCATAAACTACGTTGGTGTCAAAATGTATCACTACAATATCTAATCCTCAATTTCACCAAGTTTATTTGTTGTTTATTTGAGTAGAGACAGATACAAAAAAAAAAAACAGATTATTACATTAAAAACAATCCGATGCCCTAGAAGGGCTTTTAACAGTTAAGATAATGAAGGAGTAAAATTTTACAGTGAATACAATAAAATGTCCAGAGACTAGTTAGCACCAATAAAAGTTAGTGTAGTAAATAAACACATTCACTCGAACTCACACAGATGCTTTACCTCACATACACACAGATATACATTTCATATGTCATGATCACACTGCTGCTGCTGTATGAGCCAGGCTTTTGTTTGTTTTTTGAAGGTGGACAGTTTAGTTAAAGTCTTTATATTTGTAGGAAGACAGTTCCACAGACACAAACTATTAAAAAACAACTTTATATGTCTAAGATTAACAAAATTAACAAGTTTAAGATTTTATGTTTACTTAAAATGTAACAGTGATCGAATGGAATGAGCTTTTTATCTAAGATTTTTAGGGCGCGGTTTTAAAGCCTCTCAATAGGCTTTATGGTAGTTTGGCTGGTCTGGGACCAAACAGTGGTGCAGTACGACAGGATCATAGTGTTCAGAAAGACATGAGCACATTCAAATGTCAGACAGCTCCTGATCATTCTGAAACAGTTCATACTGGCCTTCATTTTTCTTGAGATGTTTTTGACTTTTAAAGTTTAGCGGCTCCATTAGAAATAATAGTAAAATGACCCTACTTCTCTGCTGATTTATTACCTCAGTAAACACTTTACTATTTAGTTTCATGTCTTTTTTAATACAACAGCAAAAAATCAACATAGCACTGCCTTAACGGTCAAACGTTTTTTCCCCCTCTTTTTGGGGGTAGTGGGTCTAAGTCTTAAGGGGGTCATACCCCCCCAATCCCTCCGGTAATTCGAACCTAGCTGCTAACTAGCTGCCGTCATCTAGTTAATGGTTTTAGCTGTGTAGCACAGGAGCTTTGGACCGCCATGAGAAGGAGGTTGTGCAGCTAGCGGTCCTATTAGCTGACTCAGCCAAACCCAGCAAGAGAACCACCTCGGTACTGTATTCCTTGTTGTGTTCGGTACCGGTGCGACCGCCATGTACGCTCACTGGGAGCTTCTAGTCCCAGAATAGACCTTTTCTATTAGTTCACATTTCTGTAATAACAGCAGGTTGGGAGAATTTTTATGGATGAAACCAAGTTGATATGGCGTTAAACACCAGCACTGGTAAATTTTAATGAGTGTTTTTTTTTGTATGTTCACAAAGTAACTTGTTTAAATCACAAAGATTTCAGTTTTAATTCAATTCAAATTTATCTATCCCGGTAGGGCATTTCAGTTTCAGTCTACCGGTCGTATAAAAAACTAAACAGAAACCACAACAATTCAGACACCCTGTCAGTGACAACATATAAGCATTTGGCATAAACAACAACTTATGCTAAGAATATAGAACGTAAACTTCAAAATGCACCATGTACCAGGTTCAAATCCAACCCACGGCTCATTTATTCTCTCTCTCTCTCTCTCTCTCGTAATGGACTTCATATGTGTAATATTGGGAGGTCGAGATAAGACCACCTGTGTTTAGGATTGGAGGACTTTTTGGAGAACTGAAGGCAAAATTGCACGGAAACATGGAAATAAGGCCAGAAGTACAGCATATATGACAAAGTCTGAGATGTTGCATTTTATAACTGAATAATAACAAAGTCAATAAACCAAACTCATATAAGCAATAACCTGAAAGGGTCAATTAACATTGAACACAACATTGCAAAAGCTCAACAAAGGCTAAACTTCCTCAGGCAACTTTAAAAATAACGGCTCAAGCATCAACTCCTTGTTGCTCTGAACCACCAGATGAACTCAGCATGTCAAATGGGTGTAAAGATGCCTTTTTGAGTTGCGCTGATGCAAATCTCTAAACATGCGGGAACAAGTTAAACAAACCTGTCATTGTTTTTTGTTGTGAAACTTGAGTCGCGCCCTTATCTAAATGAGGTGGCTGCACTACAGTGGGCAGAAAGGAGCAATAATGTGGGAAACATTCTTCCACACCAAAGAAAGTGACACCTGACTGAAAATACTTTCATATATTTTTTTATCAAATTTAAACGCGTTCATTTTTCTGCATGATCAAACAGTCTTTGAATGAATTATTAAATATTTTGCTTTTGTTGTAGGAAATAGCAGGTGAGTGTAGCACAAAAGAGAATAACCTGACATGATAAATGTTGTGTCAAGAGGAGGATTTGTACTTTTCAGTTTAACTAAATATGTTTCTGTTGACTCAGGGTGTCATGCAGCAGCCACAGTTCATATTTCTATGAGAACAGGTACCGTTTTATTGTCTGAAATGCTAGAACAGGAAGTCACCCAAGCGCTCATTAAAACATCACTTATTAGTTAACCATTGCTTCAGCATGTGTCTTCTGTACCCTTATTATCAAGGGAATATCAGCAGGAACGTGGAAACAGGAGTTAAGTGTTTTCTTACCTTGTTAGTCTGCAGCGATGTCTGAATCCACAGCCAGAGGCGTGACCATGAAATGTGGTGTGTTCTCATATCTGAGCTTTAATTTTCTAAAGCTGGGGCAGGCAACGTAGGAGGAACTAAGAGGAGGCAGCTGGATTTTGAAAGAGTCCTCCCCGCAGTGCCCACTCCAAAGCCACTCCCCTGAAGGTGCATGCATGTGGACAGGTGGTGGGCAGGTAAGACAGCCAGTATTTTCAGGAAGTACTTACTGTTCTGCGACAGCCACAGATTAATTAAATTTTTGTGTCAGAGCATTTTTTTATGTATTGATCAGAACGTAGAGAGAATTTCAATAAATATAACAAAAGCTTCTGAAATAAACTGCCTACTAAAGAAGCCAATTTAACATTAAGATATTTTTATTTTAACACATTTTATGACATCTCAGGTATGGGGACCTTCCTCTCTCCCCATTGGCTCGCAGACATGAGGTTCAAAGTTGGACCAGGAAGAGTAACGTGACCAACAGAGACGGCTTACTCAGTCTTTTTGTGTTGTAAAAGATGATAAACATTGAGGAAGCACATGACGCAGTTGTCCGTGGATATCAGTAAAACTCTGCAGAACACTATTTAAATGTGTAACAAATGGCCAGTGACACATTCACTTTTCTGCAAACACAAATTGGCTAAATAAACTTCGAGAGTCTCTTCAGCTGAGTGCTCACCAGCAGTGAGAAGCCCTGTAAAAACATTTCTCAAACCGACAATCAAGCCTTTGTAGTTGTGTCCATTTTGTTTCCCCTTATGTGTAAATTGGTTTGGCCAAGCCCTTGTGTCTCATTCAGTTAGGCCAGTTTGTTCTGTTTATATCCTGTTTTGCTGTATGCCTTTTTGAGTATAGCGATATTTGGTTGACCTCTTTTATAGGCCTAGTTGTGAAGTTTTTGGTTTCTGTTGTTCAGTATTTTTGGGGTAAATAAAAAAAAAAATAAAAAAAACCCAATTTTTCAAAGAAATTCCTGTTCTCCTCTTTGCCTGACATGTCAGAACACTATTTTGCAAAGCTAAAATTATATTTATATCTGTTTTCATCAGCTGAAATGTCAACAAACCTGAAAAAAAAAAAAAAACTCTCAATGACTTTAATTCTCTAACTTTAAAAGGGATAGTTGGTAGGTATGGGTATCGCTAACAGCTCAGTATCGAATAACGTCTGTCAAACCAGTACTTCATTCGATACTTTCTGTAACCAGATCGCAGCAAAAAATGACTATTTGTATGGTTTTGTTTATAGCCAAACACGCAAGCAACACACTGAAAGAAGGACATGCCTCTTTTATTTTTTTAGAAAGAACAGCAAATGCAAATGTACAGAGAACTCTTAAATGATACCAGAAGATGAACCAATAGAAAGCCAAGCTTGTGGTGATAAATGTGCAACAGTGACGAACGTGTTACAGCCGAAGGTGAGCGGCTGATAAAAAAAAAAATAATAAAAAAATAAAAAAAGAGTCATGCCCTTCTCTTTATTTCAGTGTGTTGCTTGTGTTTTTGGCTGCAAGCAAAACCATACAAATAGTCATTTTGCCGCAATTTGGTTACAAATACTATTGAATCAAGTACTGGTTTGACTGGAGACATCTGGATACTACTCAATACTGGGCTATTAGTGATCCCTACCAACTAACCCCATTAAAGTTAGAGAATGAAAGTGCAAAAACTGATTTTTCGTCAGGTGTCACTGTCTTTGTTGCTCTTTTGTGCCAACTATAGTGCAGCCACCTCATTTGAATTAGGGCGAGACTCAAGTTTCACAACAGAAAACAATGAAAGGTTTGTTTAACTTGTTCCTGCATATGTACAGATTCTTAAGAATTGAATGTAACACTAGTACTGAGTACTGACTTGATGCTTGAGCAGGTTGCCTAAGGAAGTTAAGTCTGAGCTTTTGAAATGGTGTGTTCCCAGGAATAAAAAAAAAAAAACTGACAACCTTCTTAGTCAGTTATAAAATGAGACATCTCAGACACATGGACAAGCGGGTGCAGGCACGTACGGGAAAAAAAAAAAAAAAAAAAAAGGCATGCTTTTCTCTTTCTTTCAGTGTGTTGCTTGTGTGTTTGGCTGCAAGCAAAACCATAAAAATAGTCATTTTGCCGCAATTTGGATACAAAAAGTATTGACTGAAGAACTGGTTTGAGTGGACACGTTTGGATACTACTCAATGCTGGGCTTAAATGTATCGAGTATCGAGCTACCCGTTCCTAAAGAAATAATTCTGTTTACTTTCACAAACGTATCAAAAATTTATCTAAACTCATTTGGTCGCTAAACTATTTCACTCCTCCTCTCTCACTCAAATACAAAAAAAAACTTCCAAGCTGTCTCTGATGATACTACCTGTGAGGAGGATCTGTATATATTTTATGTAACCGTTATTTGAAAAACCTTGCTTGTCTGAACAATAAAAATAATAATAGGCTACCAATCAACCACTATCTCTTCAACAGGTGGCACTTTACGCTAGGTATCGAATGAAGTACTTGGTGGTCTATCACTTTAAGTGTACTGGTTTTGGTACTGGTAGTGTAAAATTTTAAACGACACCCAACCCTAATAGTTGGATTTTTTTTTTTTTTTTATTTTTTTTTTTTTAAGTGGGACAGCATGAGGTATAATCAGTGTATTACCTGCAGTCAGGAGCGTAGCATACAATTCTGGGCCCATGTCTCTTACATATCTTTTGAAATCTGTAGTGGAGATTAGTCACTAATTAACTGTTCATACCACATTTAAACAAGTAATAACAATTTGAAACATGCAGGATTGATATTAGCCTACAATAAAACAGGCTGTAATTGCTGCTGAGCTCCTCTCAGCTTCAAATGATTGCTTAGTAAAATATTTGTTTGCCACTGTGTGAGCTCACATCCTCAGTAACTGAAGGATATGTTCTGTTCCATCTGCTTCCTGATGTTAAGCTTTGCTACACTCTAAAGACATGGCTCTACTTGAGACTACTTGCTTAGAAATAAAACATGGCAAACAAAAACAAACTTAATTTCAGGCTTTTTGAGGGTTCCTGGGTGATCACTCTCACTGACCGTGGATAATTACCTCACACAGCTCCACTTTAAATCCTGAACTATCCCTTTAAAAAAGGTTCTTTGTGTGCTACTTAAGTGTACTACATCAAGCTTAAATTTAATAAATAATTGAATTCCTAACCTGAGCCCATCTTCTTCAGAAGGGAGAAATGAGAAAAGGGAAGGAGGAGGAAGAGTGGAGTCCTGAGAACAGCTCCCTGCTTAAACAGCTAGGTGTTAATGGTGTACATAAAAGCTGGACCCAGGGGGCGAGGGAGTCGATCCAGGTCCAGATAGGGAAAGCGAAGCGAAGTGGTTGGACTGAAGCTGCGAGGGTGCAGCAGGTGAGCTGGCAGGCAGGTTCGGGTGGTTCTGTGAGAACGAGGGAGAATTAACAAGGATTAGTAGAGGCGAGGTCACAAACAGGTTCATTACGAGAGCAGGCCAAGGTGTGTACCACGGAAGATGATCTGGCGAATACTGGCGTGCTGGACCTGCGGTTGATTTGGAACGAGGTGCAGGTGTGTGGAGACACTGTGCAGGAGCCAGGGAGGAAAAGCACGCCCATCTGCAAACTAAGCAACTCACAGGGGAAAACAGACAGACAGGCACAATAGGATGGGTAAACAGCAGAGAACAAAAGGTTAACAGGGGAGAGAGACCACTGGATACAACATTGTGATTATATGCACCTCACTGGCTGAACGTATGCGTTTCCACATATGCAAGATCCTGCTGACAAAAGCTTGCAACACATTCGTAGCCTTGATGCATCTATTATTTATTTGAGGCAGCAAACAACCAAGACATTATAAAAGTGTCACGATCATGGTTTTTGTATTTTGTATTATTTTGGCCCACTTTGTATTGATTCTTGTTTTAAAGTCAGTGTTACGGTTCGTTCTCCTGTGCTTGATTATTTGGGCTGTCCTGCATCAATGATTTATGCTGCGTTCCAGGCAACTCACAACTGGGGAATTTCCAACCTCCAACAAGAAAAAGTACTATGGAACGCCACCTGATGTCAGATTTCCTACTCGTGACCTCGTAGAAAAAATATCTGCCAACTTCACGAGTAGCACCCGAATGAAGTCACACGACAGCGGCACCTCCCATGGAAGCTGTCAGGGTTGTAGGGTTGAGCGGGTTGGACGACCCAAACGCAGGACAAGTTCAGAAAAGGTTTATTTGACCAACAAGAGGCGAGCACACTTACTTCAGAGTGGCTGAATCCAAAATAAATGATCCACAGGAAGACACAAAGAGACAGCGCTAGGCAGGCTACACACTACAACTGTGCAATGACCAGACAAAGACTTAACAGAAACACCAGGCATATATACACAGGGACTAACGAGCAGGGCGGGAGCAACACAGGTGACAGGGATCAAGGTTAATGAGGCAGGCAGAGAGACAGCAGGGGGGAACAGAGAGGCAGGCAGAGTGATAACTAGGGGAGCAGACAGAACACTTGACAGGCAGGTCAGAGAAGCAGGTTAGATTAAACAAATCTTCGAAAAAGCAAACAGGTTTCAGAGCAGGCTGGAGCTGACACAACATATGCGTGATTACTCAACAATCCGGCGGGGACTGGATGTCTGAGTCTCCCTCTTAAAGCTGTGGTTGATTGCCGAAGTTAGTTGTCAGATTTAATCATCACAATTAAATTAAATAAACATTTGAAATATATCAGTCTGTGTGTAATGAATGAATATAATATCAAAGTTTCACTTTTTGAATGGAATTACTGAAATAAATCAACTTTTTGATGATATTCTAATTATGTGACCAGCACCTGTACATCACACCACACCTTGTCAATGTTATTAGGTAGCTGGTTACAGTAAACTATCTGTAAAAGTCATCTTCTCTACCCAGTTATTCAGGAAAAAGTTAAAAATACCCAGAAATTTTAGTTCCTGTTTGCTTCTTGTCTTGTGTTTTTTGGTTCCAAGTAGGTTGGATTTCCGACTCGGAAAGTCGGGAGAACCTCCCCAACCCCGACCTCAAAATCCAAGATGGCTGCTACTGGAATCAACAGTAGTGGAAGCTGTGGTACTTTAATGTTTCCACACTGTTTTATTGTGTCTCATTAAATCAGTTATACACACAGTCCTGTCCAACTTATCTCTGTAGACATGTTGTTATGGTGTGTTATGGTGTTTGTGTGTACAAAATAGAGCATAATGCATTATCATCAGCTGATATTGCTAACAATGGCCAGAGGCATCAAACTTGGTTTTCCAGCTTAAATCTGTTGTTTTACTGGAACGCCGTCAACTCGAGTGTGACGTTATTCCCAGATCTGACCTCCGACTTCTGAGGTAAATAGAAAGCCTAAGCAACTCGCTTCCCCTCCGGCCCATGGGACCTTTTTTCGTGGGAAAAAATATGTCAACGGCGAGAGACAGCTTATTTTTTGAACCTGTTTGAACTGAGCCCTGAATTTCACATGATGTTTGTCAATTTAAAAAATTATTTTGTTCGTCAAGAAAGTTGCAGTCTGTCATGAAACAGTAAAGTTACATTTCGTTTTGTGTGAAAACTACATCTCTCGTCTTGTTCAATTTACGTCACCAACTGCTAGCTAGATAACTCAGCTATGTTCCGTGCAGAAATATATCTCACCTGAGGTGTTTCATTCAACGGCTCTGTCCTTTTATCACATCATCTACACATGGGAGCTCTTTGACGTTAGCTTCAGTCATTGAGAGAAAAAATTACGTCACATACGTGACTTTTTGAATTTGTGGCCTTTGTAATTACGTATTTTCACAGTCTTAACTGTTGTACATCAAACTGCGACTTTCTTGACTTTTAAAAGTACATTTTTAATTGACCATCATTATATGAGATCAAAATACTTAGTTGTCCCTTGCCATTGACTTCTGTACATATTTTTTCCCGAAGTAAGATCCTATGGTGGTCCACCGGAAGGGGAGGGACTTAGACGCTCTACCATAGACTGTATATAAAAATTGGACGTAGACATCCGTCACCCGTTGGTTTGTGGACTGCGGTTTGGCCGATAGGGCGCCGCCGTGTTGAGTTTTTGCAACCAGCTGCACCAGACGTGACCATTTTTTGACGAGACGGTTGAGCTAACGGCCGGCGCTAGTTAGCTTGCTTAGCTAGCTGCAGCTGTAATTCACGTTAACTGTCATTTTAACAGGGCTGACAATTTTGTCTAGCGAACAAAACTAAATGTACTCACCGACACAGACATGAAACTAGTGATTGAGAACATAAACTCTATGAATGCCAAACATCACTTCTTGTCCATACAGATCATATTCTGATTGTCTCCACTCCTTTTCGGCTCTTTTTGCACTGCCGCTTGTTCATCCTTTCTTTCCATTCTTTTGGTAGCTCCAGCGTATGACAGACCCTCTACCGCTCTGATCTGAATCACCATCCATTTCCTTTATTCTTTTCGGACATCGTGGTGACGCAGCATGATGATTTCCTGCACAGTGTGGACACTTTACTTGCACCTGCTCTTCCTTACACGCCTCCCTTTCACAGTTCTTCTTCCCACATCTTCTGACTCCTCTACATACTTCAGCAACATGTCCATATTCCTGACAGCAGAAACATCTCTATATATCCTGGCAAAACCCCCACAAAAGTCAGACACACCGACATTACTTTCCCCCTTCTCCCCTTGTCGGAAACTTGTTAGCGTTTTTGCCACACAAACATCTTAAACACTTCGAAATGGCTCGGCCTCCACTGACAGCGGTACACCACTCATCATTTCCTGACCCACTGACCCGAGTGGGAAGCAAGTCAAACAGCTGTGATCTTCATACTCTCTAATCTTCAGCGCTTTATCTCTCTGCCGCCTTGACGCACGATCAATGATAACCATTCCACTACTTGTTATCGCGACCAATCGCACATCTTCAACCTCGTGCTGATCTTTGAATCTCCCGTCTGTTCGTGTCACAGCTATTAAAGGGGCTATATCTAGTTATACAATGAAATCACCTATTAATAAATTACTTTTTTACAGCCTTTTATCAACTGGTTGTAACCTCACTTAGAAATGAAGCGACTACAGCGAACAAAGCCCGGTCCACTAACGCAACAAAACGACCGGCTGGCTGCACAATACAGACTCCAACACAAACTCCAACATAAACTTTATGTCAGGATAAAATCCAACAACAAAGTTTTATGTTCTAGAGCCTGTCAGGCCAACAGAATGAAATGGATGTCGGGTGAAAATACGGTCAACATCACAGAGACACCGCTGATTTGTTTTGGAACAGACAAAACTGACATTAATCCTGGCAGGTTGATGGCATATAGACAACATTAATAACATACGCACATAATCATAAGCAGATAACACACGAGCATGGATAAAACATAAAAGCATGTAAACTAGTTAACTTGTATGGCTTTCCACATTACTTCAACAGCTAAACACCCCACATTACTGTATTGGTCCGTACCGCAAATAAGTGAAACTTAAAGCTCGTTACCAGTGGGGGTCGAACATAAGTAAGAGTCCAGGAGATGTGCTAAAAACATATGTTTATTGAAATAAACATGAAATAAGTTCAAAATTTCATTAATCATCTGTTCTTGTTCCACATTCTTTGCAGAAAAAACAGCGGACTGTGGTCCGTATAAACCACCACAGGGAAAACAGATGAGCGAACACAAACATCAAAATGTTCTAAAGCCATGACTAGTGCCAAGGCCTCCCTTTCAATGGTCAAGTACCATTGAAAAGTTGCAGATCGGATGCTTTTTATCAAGTTTGTTTATTAAAGCTACATGCTTCACATTTTGCCTTTTTTCCAACACAGGACAGCCTGCCACAATATGTCCTCTTTTTTTATAATAGAAGCACTTGACGTCTTTTCCCTTCAAATCATCCTTATCAGCCTTAACATCAAGCTTCAAGGGACCAGCATTTCTGCAACCCCTTCGAGACACCACTAGGCCTATCCTTCACAATAGAAGTCAGGTTATCAAGAGGCTTACCAACATTACAAAAAAGAAGATCCCCAAAAACATATTCATCAACTAAGACAGCAACGTTAAAAACATCACAAACCTTATGTTCATTTAAGTAAGTTGAAACCCTCTCTGGAAGACTGTTTTTAAAATTCTCCGTTAATGCTAACTATTTAAGCTGTGCAAAATCACCAACCTCATTAGATGAACACCAGCAACCAAAAAAAAGTCTCCTTCTCCCGAGCACAATACGTCTGATGGCCATACTTTTTCAGCTGGTGAAACCTTTGACGGGACGCCTCCGGCACCAGCTCACACACTCTAAGCACAGCAGCTTTTTCTTTGTCAAAATTAAGACTGTCTTCCGCCCGAAGTGATGAGTAAACTGTCTGCGCTTTACCACTCAGAACCCATTGCTGCAACAACAACGTGCACATTTCTTTCGGACAATTTAGTGTAGAAGTCACCCGCTCAAATAAGGTGAAATATTTGTCAGCATCCCTTTCATTAAGGAGGAACTAAGCAAATGTTTCTGCTTACATCAAAATTCCTACTTTGGAGCCACTTTGTTCCACCTGATCTCTGTATCCATGTTTTAGGGGGACGGTGACGGGCTACAATCAGGAGAGCAACAAGCGCTTCTGTTGTGGATGTATATCAACATTTAAAGTGCTAGACCCCAAAATAAGAAGAGGTGAATTCTGTGCCCTGCCCCCTGTTCTGCCCTTTTTGAGACTTTTGTTTTGGTGTTCATGGTTCTGGACCTTGTTTGCGTTTCAGTCCTGTTTTCTGGCCCTCCTCATGACGTCCCTCCGCCCACTCTGGCTTGGTTTGGACTTTGTCTCCCCTGTCAAGTGTGTTAGTTGTTCCTGCCTGCAACCTCGCCTGGATCGCTCTTGCCGTTGTTTAAGCCTACATTTGGATATAGAGTTTCTTCATGGACTTGTTATCTTTGTCACAACATTTGGATTTTCTGTTCGGACATTACCTCTTCTTTTTGGATTTGTTTGGACGCTCTGTAAGTGTGCTCGCTTTTTGTTTGTACATCTTTGGACCTGAACCTGCCATTTAGGGCTGCAGACCTGTTCACCACTGGACAAACGTGACTAAAGTTTGAAATCTCAGGATGATTTAATTTTAACCTGATAAAGGAAACTTTCTCTTGATGCATAAACGTGTTGCGACCTTCAACAAAGCAACTGTTTTATCCTGCTGTGGTCAGTATCCTTTCCAAG